TTTGTCATTTTTATTGAATCTCTGTGTATAGGTAGTATTTATAAAGTTGTAGCTTTTAGTTTTGGATCTGTTTTTAGTTGATTTAATGCTAGAATTGATCGCTTCTGTTGTCCTCATGTGTGAGTCGCTTTGGATAAAAGCGTCTAATAAATGACTAAATAAATATATATATATATATATAAAATCCTGTATATCTGTAAATATATCTATAACTTTGTGTAAAATACTCAGGGAAGGTAAAACACTTTCAAATGTATTTCAGATGTTCTGAGTCGAGGTGGATATGTTTCTTGTACCTGTACATGTGGTTGTTCTGGTTGTGCGCAGGTGTCTCTGGTCAGACTGAGTGCTTGTGCACACTGTTTTATTCTTTATATCTTTCATCGCTCAAGCACGCCATGCTCTGTCAGTCTTTATACGCAGACTCTCTGGGCTGCTGTAAGAATAGGCCTACAAAAGCTTGCACTTTCTCAAGTGCACACTGCATTGAAATGCATTAAAAAGACATGTTAAAGCAGTGCAACAAAGACAGCACTTTCATACATAATTAATACTAGGAAGAGAACATAAAAACAAGAACTATATCAACCAGGCTGTGCTTAGATTTGTGGGAAATTAAAATTATAATTATATAAATACATATAGCTTATTTTTAGTATAGCTAATTTATGTATTGTTTTATTTCATAATGTGATTTTTTATTTTTTTATTCGCAACACACACATGCGCACACGAAGTGTTTGGTGTAACGCATTGGGCTACTAAGTATTTAATTAGCCTACTGTAATTTAATTACGTTTCCCTTGAAATAGTAAAGCAATTGAATGAGTTACTTCTGATGTGATTGCATTGAATATATGAACAATAGTGAATTTAACAACAACATTTTACATTTAACATTACCTTCTGCTCAGTTCAAGAATAATTGATGTACTTTAATTTCTGTCCTTGTCTTGTTCAGCTGATCGAGGTTGATAGGATTTAGAAAGTAGTAACAAGTAGCGCCAGAGAGTGTAATTGGTAGGCTACAGTAATTAGTACAGTAATCTAATTACACTATTAAAGATGCACTAATAAAATAATAATTCACTTTATTTATGCTATACATATATGCTGGATGAAAAAAGTGTTTTTTTTAATATTGCATTTTCTATCTATTAAATATTTGCATTGCATTGCAATAATCGTTTTGATCTTGCAGAGATTTGTGTCTATATTCTATAACTGCATTGCGTTTGTCTTGTGTTCTTATTCCCTGCATTGCATTGCTGTCACTGTTTAAGCTTACAGGATGATGAGTGTACAGTATGTGCTCTGAATATTACTGTAATCGCTCGACGGTTACTGTATTGCATCCTGCGCTCTGGTTGGCCGCGCGCTGAGGTGTGTCGGGGGTGCGTTCGTGCGTCCGCGTGATGGCCTGTGCGTCATGACGCGGTGTCCAGGCGGCGCGCGAGAGCTGCGGCTGCAGTCTGACAGCGGCGGAGTCGCGACGCGCGTCAGCGGAGATTGTGTGTTTATAGAAATGATATAAAAGCTGTTCCGCTGCAGTGATCGCGCTGACAGCACCGCCATCGGCTCACTGACGCCCCGAGACGCGATGTTTGACCAGCGCTGGCTGCAGCAAGTTAAAGGTGACTCGATGTTTGTGTTGTGTGTGAAGTGAAGATCCTGCGCTCCCTCTTACTGCTCCATTCTATTCTATTCTAGTCTATTCTAGTCTGTTCTGTTCTATTCTGTTCAGTTCAGTTCTGTTCTATTCTATTTTATTCTGTTCTGTTCTATTTTATTCTGTTTTGCTCTATTCTATTCTAGTCTAGTCTGTTCTATTCTATTCTGTTCTGTTCAGTTCTATTCTGTTCTATTTTATTCTGTTATGATCTAATTCTAGTCTATTCTGTTCAGTTCTATTCTGTTTTATTCAAGTCTATTTTATTCTGTTATGATCTAATCTATTCTAGTCTATTCTGTTCAGTTCTATTCTGTTCTATTCAAGTCTATTTTATTCTGTTATGATCTAATCTATTCTAGTCTATTCTGTTCAGTTCTATTCTGTTCTATTCAAGTCTATTTTATTCGGTTATGAACTAATCTATTCTAGTCTATTCTGTTCAGTTCTATTCTGTTCTATTCAAGTCTATTTTATTCTGTTATGCTCTATTCTAGTCTAATTTAGTCTAGTCTATTCTGTTCAGTTCTGTTCTATTCAAGTCTATTTTATTCTGTTATGATCTAATTTATTCTAGTCTATTCTAGTCTAGTCTATTTTGTTCAGTTCAGTTCTATTCTAGTCTATTCTATTCTGTTATGATCTAATCTGTTCTAGTCTATTCTAGTCTAGTCTATTCTGTTCAGTTCTGTTCTATTCTAGTCTATTATATTCTGTTATGATATAATCTATTCTAGTCTATTCTAGTCTAGTCTATTCTGTTCACTTCTGTTCTAGTCTATTCTATTCTGTTGTTCTGTTATTTCTATTCAGTCATGTTGTTCTTTTCTGCTTTGTTTAATTCTACTATATTTAGTTATTTTCTATTCTAGTTTGCTCTATTACTCTGTATTTGTGTTTTAATCTAATCTTTTAGATGCATTTTCTAATATTTATTGTTGTTTATTTTATTATATTACATTCTACGTTGTGTTTTGTTAATATATTAATAATAATAATAATATGTTTAACTATTTCTTTACTTCTTTTCATAGAATATGTAACACTACTGTAAATTTGCATTAATTATTATTATTATTAGTTTTAGTATTATATATATATATATATATATATATATATATATATATATATATATATATAAAATTTTACACTGTAGTCAAAATTGCTCTTCACCAAGATTTTTGTCTTATATTTTATTTCGGACCATTTTCATTTCGCACCCCTTATTGGGATTTAAAGTTCACATTGGGGTTTAGTAGTTTGTACGTAGTTTGATTGCTCCGTTTATTCCTTATGCAAGACTTAAAGCATAAAAAAGTACTAAGCTCTTTGAAAACTAGCACTTAGTTGCTTAATGCGATGCTTTTGGTTGTCTTTACTGTATGTCACAATGTTCTAGTTGAGTTTGACAAAGATGTGAGCAAATCGGAAAAACTCGTAATTGCGGTAATTCCAACAAGCTGCATTATTTGTGAGCCTGGAGCACAAAAGCAGTGTTGAGTCGCTGGGGGATATTTGTAGCAATAGCCAACAATACATTGCATGGATCAAAATTATAGATTTTTCTTTTATACCAAAAATCATTAGGATATTAAGTAAAGATCATGTTCCATGAAGATATTTTGTAAATTTCCCGCCGTAAATATATTAAAGCTTAATTTTTGATTAGTAATATGCATTGCTAAGAACTTCATTTGGACAACTTTAAAGATGATTTTCTCAATATTCTGATTTTATTTTTTTTTACATATTTTCAAATAGTTGTATCTCGGCCAAATATTGTCCTATCCTAACAAACCATACATCAATGGAAAGCTATGTATTCAGCTTTCATATGATGCATAAATCTCAATTTCGAAAAATTGACCCTTGTGACTGGTTTTGTGCTCCAGGCTCACATTTGTCATTTTTGCTAAGATGTAACTTGCAATTCATTGCTATTGCAGCAGGCCCCTGGACACAAACCAGACTGTCCGATTCTCGCTGCGGGGCCCGTGCTTAAATTACTCAAGCAGACACACTGCTCGCAGCACCAACCCCCCATAAAGTTGCATAACCGGACGTTCTGTGAGGGTCTTGGAGTTCACCTTGTGTTGTGTTTATCTGCATGTAGGTTTTCGGCTGTATCAGCCATGACATCTGTGGAGTGTTTTAGTGTTGTGTAACTGTAGTCTTTGCAAACTGTATTTACAGAAAATACTCAGAACTGTTGAAATCCCCTGATTATTTACTCACCCTTATGTTGTGTCTTCCATGCAACACAATTCCATGGAATTTTTAAGCTGTTGCATGAGACGTAACCAAATGCAGCGCGCTAGTTTGTAGGGACCATCGATGATTTAAACCATTGATGTTTTAATCTAATAAGAGCGTTAACCCAGGGTTTACCAACTTAAAACTCAAAACCTGACTAACCAGTATTCATTTGTAACTCTGGTTGCAGTGTCTAATATGTAAGAGTTTATATACAGTCCGACCGCCATAAACACTAAATAAACGCAAAGTTAACTTGGAAGGGTTATTACCCTGAAGGAGTTTATATTGCGCAAAATGACCAACTGACTGTAAATGATCCTGCTTACTGTACAGCTGCTTACCAGATGGATGTGAACTATTGATTTGAGTTGCATTTTATTATCTGAGAAGAAAGAAAATTCAATGTGATGCAATATACACCGATACTGTATGTAAGAAATCTAACGACTAGTGGGTAGTTTAGCAGAAAATATGCACCATGAATGTTTGAATCAGAGAAAAGCCACATGATAAGGAACAAGGTAAGCCAAATTGGCCTCCATTAGTTAGGTTGAGTGTCTTTAAAGTAATCATCACAGATTTCCTCTCATGTCCGAACATGTTGTGCTGCTTTTGTCTGCCTCTCTGCAATGTTTTTGTCACGCTCAAAAATAGTCTTAGTAAAATGCTAATGTCTCTCTCAGGGACGTTGTCCGACTCGTTTGGAATCTGAGACTGTTCATCAGACCATTCTTGCTAGTTACTCAGTGAGAGAAGGGGAATGTTCCCGCTCGGTCCGTTCCCCCGCTGCTTATTTTCCTAAAACAGGATTTTCAGGTTGGACTGACCACTTTTTCTGTCCTAGCCACCTGACTGTGTCTCCTTAAATGTTAACATCAACGTCTTAAAGGCTTTCAGGGAGAGCATGTACACTACCCTTCAAAGGTTTGGATGCATTAAACTGATCAAAAGTGAAGACATTTATAATGCTGCAAATGTCTATTTCAAATAAATGCTGTTCAAAAAATCCTGAAAGAAATGTATCACGATTTCTACAAAAATATAAAGCAGCTCAACTGTTTTCAACATTAAGTTAACTTCTGGCCAGGCGCGTGCGCCCATTGAAACCGTCTATATAAAGCTTGAAGCATCAGAATCGGTATCGGCCGATCACCATGACAAGAAATCGGTACTCAGTATCGGCGGCAAAAATCCTGATTGGAGCATCCCTACTAAGAATGACTTGTGGCTTTCAGATCTTCACGCTCCCACGTGACGGTATTCTTAATGTGACCGTGAGAAGTGTGCCATCCAGATGTCACTGGGTTTTGTTGATAGCCTCGCCCCTCATCCACCCCCAACCCATGCTGGAGGTCACGGCGTGTGTTGAATTGCAACTTGAAACAAGACACGAACGGCAGGCGCTCGAAGCATTCGCCACTGAGCCCTTCTGGACGATTAGTACTTTCCGTGCATAAAGACACACACACATTAAATCAGATCACGTGTATAAACTCGAGAGGGAGGTGTGGTTTTGTTGTGGTTTTGCACATGCACATGTTTTTTGCTGATATTCAGCTAGTGCTCTTTGATTGAACATGCGTTGATGACTTCCAGGACACTTCATTCACACAGACTGTAAGTGTATGTAACGTATTACTGTCTGTGCTGCTCTATAACTCGGCTTTAATCCGCTCTGTTAATAATTCTGTAGGCAGGAGTTGTCATTGATTCACTAAGATCGTCCTTGGCCGTCCGAAACTCTGTCCTCAAGCTAATAGCTAATCCATAACTCCTCATAACTAACCCCTCATATTTGTTGTGAAGTTTTGTTATTGAATATGATGTGTTTCTTGCTATTTAAAGGGATTGTGCCATTAAAAACAGGTGTTTTCCTTGATCTTGTGCAGGGATTATAATTAACTAAAACTAAAACCATAAACATTTTGTTACTTTAAATAAAATAAAATAAAATATAAAAAAACCCTTAAACTTGTTTTATTTCATCTCATTGCCAAGGAAATGTTTCTCATTTTCATTTAGTTTAACTTGATGTACTAAGATAATTAATATAAAATAAAAATATAATATGAAATAAAAATGTATAAAAACTATGAAGACATATAAAAAAAATTTAAATATAAAAAAAAAAAAAAAAAATTTTAAATTAAAATCATAAACATTTTGTTACTTTAAATAAAATAAAATAAAATATAAAAAAACCCTTAAACTTGTTTTATTTCATCTCATTGCCAAGGAAATGTTTCTCATTTTCATTTAGTTTAACTTGATGTACTAAGATAATTAATATAAAATAAAAATATAATGTGAAATAAAAATGTATAAAAACTATTGAAAAAAAAAAATATAAAAAAAATAAAAAAAAAAAAAAAAAAATTAAAAAAAAAAAAAAAAAAAAAAAAATTGTAAATTAAAATGAAAGTGAAAAATATTAAAATAAAAACTAAATTCAAATTAAATAATAGTATATATTCGTAGTAATAGTATAGTAGTATCTCAGTGTTAATAAAATAACACTGATATTGTAAAAATAATTTAGACTTGGACTGAAGCAATCACACATATATATGCAAATTACAGTCATATATAATTTATATATTTTTTCCACCCATACTGAATCAATATTTTCGTTGCTTGTATAAAGATTATTATTGTGTGCATTCATATTTTCTACAGGTCGGTTAATGAAGCAGGTCAAGTGCAAACATTTTTCATTGTCAAATATATTTATTATGTTTAATTCTTATTTAAGTACTTATTATTGTTATTATATATGGCTGAGTTTGCTACTGTACCTTTAAGATTACATGCATATATTCTAAATATTATTGTTTTAATATTTATTGATATTATTATTCGTTTTTACAGTAGCCGAGGCTGATACTGAAAAGTAGATGTAATTAACACAGTTTAATAGTATTTTATTATTTACTGTTTTAAAAATATTTACTGAGAATTAAAAACATTTATTATTATTTTCCAAAGTTTTCAATAGATTTCGTAATTGACACAAGGAGAAGCTTACACGTCTGTTAATTATCCAAGCAGAAACAGTTATGATCTGATAGTCTCACAGTTGAAAAGTGGACATTGGGAAAAAATAGCTAGACGGAAATAATTATAAATGTTTTGATAGCATCCACTGATCTAGAATGGAAACCAAAGGTGTGCCGCCCCTGGAGAACTGTACATGCCATATCGTTGCACTGTCCAGCTCGATGAATACCGTACACATGTACCTCTCATGGCTGCCAGGGCGCATTGGAAATGCCCTGGCATATCGCCTGCGGTCTGTGACCACTGGCTGCTCTCTCTCTGTCTCAGGCTGAGACGAGTGTGCAGGGAACAGCGTGTCCTGGCTGGGGCGATGCAGCGTGTTCAGTGGCTTGTCATCACGATACGAGTAGGTGCTAAACATGGAGCGGCACGCATTCAACCAGCTCGCTTTAGATACAGGACCTTTGTTTATTTGCACAAGAGTTACATAATTATGCTGCGGAAAATTATTTATTCTGATGCAGCTGATTGGTTGGCTGATAAATGTTTTTTTTTTTTTTTTGATGCATGGAGGCAATTGGTGTTCAAGCGCTCTGTGGTTTATGAGTATAAATAGAACAGTTCAGTTGTAGAAAACGTACGTTGTGCACAGTGTTGTTGCACGATTTGAATAGAAAGCACAGTTTGCACGGTACCGTTTGAAACATTTAGCATTGCATATTGCATATACTTAATAATAATAATAAAAAAAAAGTAGTATACTGTTTCTTTACTGGATGCAAGCACTCCATTCCAAGAAACAGCTTGACAATACGGGGTGTGGCAACAGTTGCCATGCAAGATAGGATTGTTTTTTAAGGCGGGACTTAAAGAGTGGTCACAGGTTTTATTCACTTAGGGTCTCCACCTGGATTATATGTTACTGTGGAAAGAACATTTCACCGTCTTTAATGGCCCGTCATTTAGGACGTTTCGTTTTTTTTTTATCAGTCTTTTGCCGAAATTCATTTTTTTCTGTTTACATTTTCTGAGTTCCATTTTAATGGTTAAATTGTAGTTACATTGTAGTAAACTGATACAATCTAGCAATGTATTAAAAATAAAAAAAAAATTAAAAATGACACTATGAAATCCGTTCTATTTTTTCCCAAATTCCATTTTATTTATTTTTACAATAATATGATGTTTTCATAAATTCAGTGTTGTGTCTAAATTTTTCTAAATCTATCTATCTATCTATCTATCTATCTATCTATCTATCTATCTATCTATCTATCTATCTATCTATCTATCTATCTATCTGTCTGTCTGTCTGTCTGTCTGTCTGTCTGTCTGTCTGTCTGTCTGTCTGTCTATCCATCCATCCATCCATCCATCCATCCATCCATCCATCCATCTATCTATCTATCTATCTATCTATCTATCTATCTATCTATCTATCT